CTAGGCCCAACCATCTGCAGCTGCTTCATCAATGACCTTCCCTCCATCATAAGGTCAAAAGTGGGGATGTTCACTGATGATTGCACAAGGTTCAGTACCATTCACAGCTCCTCAGGTACTGAAGCAGTCCATGTTCAAATGCAACATGACCAAGATTGGTGATGAGATGGACAGCAAAGAAAGTTACCTCAGAGTACAATGGGACCTCGATCAGATGGGCTGATAGGCTGAGGAATGGCAGGTGAAGTTTAATATAGATAATCAGGGCAGGACTTATGGTAAGGTCCTGGGAATGTTGTTGAACAAAGAGACCTTGGAGTGCATGTTCGTTGTTCCTTGAAAATAGAGTCACAGGTAGACAGGGTGGTGAAGAAGGCGTTTGGTACGCTTGCTTTTATTGGTCAGTACATTGAGTATTCGAGTTGGGAGGTCATGTTGCAGCTGTACAGGACATTGGTTAGGCCACTTTTGGAACACTGCGTTCAATTCTGGTCTCCCTGCTATAGGAAAGATGTTGTGAAATTTGAAAGGGTTCAGAAAAGATTTACAAACATGTTTCCAGGGTTGGAGGGTTTCAGTTATAGGGAGTGGCTGAATAGGCTGGGACTATTTTTTCTGGAGCATTGGATGTTGAGGGGTGATCTTATAGAAGTTTCTAAAATCATGAGGGACATGGATAGGGTGAATAGCCAAGGTTTTTTTCCCAGGGTGGGGGTGTCCTAAACTAGAGGGGCATAGGTTTAAAGTGAGAGGGGAAAGATGTAACAGAGATCTAAGGGGCAACCTTCTCACACAGAGGGTGGTGTGTGTATGAAATGAGCTGCCAGAGAAAGTGGGGGAGGCTGGTACAATTACAACATTTAAAAGGCATCTGCATGGGTATATGAATAGAAAGGGTTTAGAGGGATATGGGCCAAATGCTGGCAAATGGGACTGGATTAATTTAGGATATCTAGTCAGCATGGAGAAGTTGGACTGAAGAGTCTGTTTCCATGCTGTACAGCTCTATGACTCTATCTGGACAATATCCAGGCTTGTGCTGACAAGAGGCAAGTAACATTTGTGCCACACAAACGCCAGGCAATGACCATCATTGATAAGAGACAATCTAACCACTGCCGCTTGATATTCAATGATATCACCATCACTGAAACCCTACTAGCAACATCCTGGGGGTTATCATTGAAACTCAATGAGTGTAGTGGTGGAAGGACATTTTTCAGGCTGCAGGTCTATGACTAGTGTTCTGCAGGGATCTGTACAGGGACCTCTGCTGTTTGTGATATATATAAATGATCTGGACAAAAACGTAGATGGATGGGTTAGTAAGTTTGCAGACGGTACAAATATTGGTGGAGTTGTGGACAGTCTAGAAGGTTATGGGATATTGATCAGTTACAGAAATGGCAGATGGAATTTAATCTGTGTAAGTACGAGGTGCAGCACTTTGGGAGATCAAATGTTAAGGAAAAGTATACATGTAATGGCAGGACCCTGAACAGCATTGATGTACAGAGGGATTTTGGGATTCAAGTCCAAAGCTCCCCAAAAGTGGCCACGCAAGTAGATAGGGTGGTAAAGAAGCCGTATGGCGCGCTTGCCTTTATTGGTTGGGGAATTAAGTACAAGAGTCAAGATGTCATGTTGCAGCCTTATAAGACTTTGTTTAAGCCACACTTAAGAGTATCGTGATCAGTTCTGGTCACCACATTACAGGAAGGATGTGGAGGCTTTGGAGAGGGTGCAGAAGAGGTTTACCAGGATGCTGCCTGGATTAGAGGGTATGAGACATAAGGAGAGGCCAGAAAAACTCAGGTTGTTTTCTCTGGAGCGGCGCAGGCTGAGGGGAGACTTGATAGAAGTCTATAAAATTATGAGATGCATATATAGGGTTGACAGTCAGAATCTTTTATCCTCAGAGTTGAAATGTCTAAAATTAGGGGGCATGCATTAAAGGTTAAAGGGGAAAAATTCAAACGAGTCGTGAGGGGCAAGTATTTTTTACTGAGTGTGGTAAGACTCTGAAATGCACTGCCGTGGATGGTGGTGGAGGCAGATACATTTGGTGCATTTAAGGGACTTTTAGATAAGCACATGAATATGTAAGGAATGGAGGGATATGGACCAAGAGCAGGCAGAAGGGATTAGTTTCATTTGGCATCATGTTTGGCACAACATCGTGGGCCAAAGGGCCCATTCCTGTGCTGCACAGTTCTGTTTTCAACTGGACCCACCACATAAACACAGCGGCTACAACAGCAGATCAGAGGCTGGGAATCCTGCGGTGAGTAACTCACCTCCTGTCTCCCCCCAAACCCTGTCCCACCATCTACAAGGCAGGAGTGTGATGGAATACTCCCACTTGCCCTGGATGGGGCAGCTCCAACATCACTCAAGAAGCTCGGCACCATCCAGGACAAAGCAGCCCCCGCTCAATTGGCACCACATTCACTATCCCTATCACTGATGCTCAGTCGCAGCAGTGTGTACCATCTACAAGATGCACTGTAGAAATTCACCAAAGATCCTCAGGCATCATTTTCCAAACCCGCGACCACTTCCATCTAGAAGGACAAGGGCAATAGATACATGGGAAACAGCACCCCCTGCAAGTTCCCCTCCGAGCCACTCACCATCCTGACTTGGAAATATATCCCTGTTCCTTCAGTGTCACTGGGTCAGAATCCTGGAATTCCCTCCCTAAGGGACATTGTGGGTCATCCCACAGCGCATGGACTGTAGCGGTTCAAGGCAGCTCACCCTAACTTCCTAAGGGGCAAGTAGGGATGGGCAATAAATGCTGGGTGCAGCCAGCAACATCCACATCCCTCAAATGAATAAATTTAACAAAAAATTTCCAGCCTCCTGGCTTTTCACCATATCCCCGCGCATTGTTCACATTTACACCAACATCCAATGTTCCCCTGGGTGCCTTGATTAAACCTGCCTCCCCCAAAACTTCCAGGCGGCGCATTCCAGTTCCGAACCACTCACCATAAAAATGTTAATAAAGAGACAAATTAACACCAGCTGTTTGAGCATTTGGCTATCTGCCAAGATATCCTGTTCTGTACATCAAAGACTCATTTTGAGTCTAATAGAGCTTGAGTTGCTACAAAAAGAGTGAATTGTTACGCGAGAGGTTGTGGAGTTGCTGTGAGTGGAGAGAGAGTTTCATTTATTGTTTTCAGACCCAGTCCCCAACAAAGCTGAAATCTGTCGCCTTAACCCTCCCATCAAAGACCATTCCTATTATCCTAAAACATCCCATTGAAAAACATCATTTTAGAGCCCAAATCTATTAAAGATATCCCTCTAGACCCCTAACCTTTCCAGAAGAGTATCTCTCTAGACCCCTAAATGTTCCATCCAGGACTATCCTCCCAGATCCCTAACTCTCCCATCAAACAGCATTCCTCTCCACCCCTAACCCCCCCAAAGACCATCCCTGTAGACCCCTAGGCTTCCCATCGAAGAGCAGCTCTCCAGTCCCATTCAGTCTTTCTCTCCTGCCCTGATGTAGAATCATAGAATTCCTACAGTGTAGAAGGCAGTTACTTGGCTCATCAAGTCCACACTGCCCCTCCAAAGAGCATCCCAGTCAGACCTACCCTCCCTACCCCTTTTCCCTGTAACCCTGCATTTCCATGGGGCAGGTTAAACAAGGAACAGCTCCATGCAGTCCATGAGCATGACTTGTGACCTTCTATTCTGATGCTATTTCCATGGACCAACTTGTTCTCATGCTCACACAAGCTTGAGGAACAACATATCATTGACCAGATTTGGGAATTTGTTACTTCATGAATTCAATATCAAGTTCAACAGGTTCAGACCATAAACTCTCCCCATCTGTTTGAGATTTTTCTTTTCAGCATTTGTATCTTGTTTTCACAGTTTTGCTTTCAGTCAGAGCTGACCTTTATTCTTCTAGTAAATTTAATTGGGACCAATGCTTTGTTTCATGACTAAAATCATTTCCACTCACTATGCCCTTTGTTCCACAACATCTTTGACTGCTAATTTTCCTTACTTTTCTTGACCTTCTATTCTATTCAAATCTCCATTCCGCTCCCCCCCTCACCCCGCTCTAACAACAATTTTACCAACAACAACATCACATTTCCAACTCTCTTCTGAAGAATCAATGGACTTAAAAATGTTAACTGCACAGATGCTGCTGAGCGAGACCTGCTGAGTTTCCTCTAACACTTTTTAATTCAAGTAGGGACTTACTGTACAATAAAATTCACATATTCTTGCTAAGTAGTAAGGCAACTCTGTAATTTTGCAGTTCAAATCACAGTCAAATGATTTTAGAACCTGTGTAGATTTCAAATAACCTTAGCAAAGTAGGCAGTGAAAATATAAAGACCACTAGTTATTTGATGTAATACATCTTTATGAGACTGAGAAGCTGTACATTGTGTACATTGCTTCCTGTCAGATTGGAGGTGTTGCAGGCAGTACATAAGGTTACCTCAGAATACAACAGGACCATGATCAGATGGGCCAATAGGCCAAGGAGTAGCAGATAGAGTTTAATTTAGATAAATGTGAGGTGCTTCATTTTGGAAAGGAAAGTCAGGGCAGGACTTATACACTTAATGGTAAAGTCCTGGGGAATGTTGCTGAACAAAGAGACCTTGAAACACAGGTTCATAGTTCCTTGAAAGTGGAGTCGCAGATAGATAGGACAGTGAAGAAGGCATTTGGTACACTTGTCTTTATTGGTCAGGTAACGTGTTACCTCATTTACTTTGGCAAATAGAATAAATGATGAATTTTTTTTTCCTGAATGCTGCAACACTGGGTTATGTGCACATTCACAAGGATCTAGGGGTACAAGGTTGACTCTGGATTCTGTTTCTCATGTTCTTACAATAGGATCAGGCCCAATTGGTTGGAGGTACTTTTTATAATGGGGTATTTATATTACAGGGTACTTTTATAAACACCTTGCCCTATGACCTAGATTAATGGACTAGAAAGCTCGGAAATGTAGGTATAACAGTCTTTATTAGATCCAGTCAGTGACCAAATGGATCACAAAACCCTGAAGCAGAACTCAATATATTTTGTGTTTGTATCCGTTCAATGTATCAGCTCAAGTTCAGATAGACATTAAGTCTTTTACAGAGAAACGAACTGCGTCACAATAGAGTCACTCGAAGTTATGAACGTGGAAACTAAATTTCATTAAGGATTTCATTGTCCTGGGCTTTCAGAGTGACTCCAATTTCTTCCAATGCCTCTATGTTTCCTGCTCGGAGTGTCCACGACTCAGTGTCACAGTGAGGAATCAGATGACACCAACAGTAGACCGAGAATGGAGCCTGGGCCTTTCCTGCTCTGAGTGCCTGGGTAGCAATACCACATGTTTTAGGCTAAGTCAGCTGCAGGCCGAATTACAGGCTGGCTTCTTTTTGTGTGGACCACTAACGTTCCAGGAGGATGGGATGAGAATACAGCCATGGACTTGCTCTCGCCTAGCATTTACAACAGTTTCGATGCCTTTGCTGGAGACAGCTGAAGGATGAACCCCATAAATCTAGGCCCTTCTTGGGGTAGGTGCCAGTGGAGGAGGAAGGTGGTTTTTCAGTGAGTGTCACCAGGACACGGCAGCTCTCCTCACTACGACACCAGGCAGCCCCTCGCAGTCTTTCTCGTCATCCTGCAGCCTCTGAGGGCAGCCAGAGTGGCCTCGTGGAACGTCTCCAACACCTTCTCCCCTAGCTTTGCTGAACATTCTAGAAAGCCAGACGCCTGTATCCGACACGCCATACTCTGTCCCTGTAAAGCAGTCAGATGAACATTGATGATCATACCATCCAGCAAACACCGTACTCCAACCCTACTCCATCCCACAAGGCAGGAACCATTGCTGGTTACCCCACTGAATCTCAAACCCAGGGATCACTGGGCAGTGATCTGTAGCAGGAACCCTGGCTCATTTCCCCCACGCTCTCTCCAGGTCGGTATCCTATCCAAAGGCCGGGACAGAAAGTTGCCTCATGCTAATGGGGTACTGGTGTGGACAGTGGGCTCTGTGTGGGGCAGCTGGGCAGTATATGAACTGCCTGTTTCCTCCGCAGTAGTTTTTACCTGGGTGAAAGTGATGCCCTCTTGTCTACTTCTTGCCAGTTTGCGCTGACAGGCTTTGTTCATTCTCAGGTCAGTCTTACAGGCCACCAACATCACCGGGGTCCGGGGACAGCTGTTATGTACCTCAGGGAGCCACTGCGGAGAAACAACACAGAAAGGTTAGCAACATGGGACAGTAGGAGGCCATTCAGACCCTTCTCCAGGTGTTACACAGGGGAACAGCAGGAGGCCATTCAGCCCCTTCCCCAGCC